TCGTGGCAGCTCTTATCCCTCATAGAATTCAGTGGCCCTAATAAGATCCGCCACTAGAGGGATGCAGTGTAATTTCAAGTTGTAGACGCAAAAAATAAACAAGGGTCTCGACAGAAGCTTGCAGTTTCAATAATGTATTGTACATCTTCCACTTCAAGATTAGTAGTGACCATTGTAACGAAGCTCAGTCCAGACAGAGATTCAGTATAAACAAGTTCAAATGATTATCTCCAACAAAGCTTAGTCTTTGCAGTATGGGTTACGCAGCTCCAGAGAGACGAGTAGAGTACTAATGTAGTACTCTACTCGTCTCTCTGGAGCTGCAAGGTTCTGTGAAAACTGCAATAAACCCAAGTACACATGTGTTGTTATACGTGTAACAAGGCAAGAATTATCATGTACATGTATAAGAATCCAGTGTTTTCTTATGAAAAAACTAATCCAAGACTGAAGCTCTTAAAAACACTACAAAGTTATCATATCAGTAATTCTCATTATTAAACAATACTTCCATGCTTCTTCTGAGATTAAGGCCTTCCAAACAAACAGGAAAGACATGTTTATTGCTCATTCATTTTGGATGATTTGGTGACCAATATGTATCATGCAACAAAAATGACTGTTACAACAATGTGCTTCTAGAAAAGGTAAACTCCAGTAGATCAACAGAGGGCACACTACAGGTTTTCCAGGGGCTGCAGTTATAATTCTCTTAAGGGAATAAGGGAACTTTTCACTCAGGAAAAGTGATAAGGTTTGCTATTGTTCAGGCAGAAAAGCCCATTCTTACAAAGTGACCCATAGACATCATCCAAAGAACTCTTCACAGTAACCAAGCAACATCAAAAATTTGAGAAAAACTTGGACAAAACCCGGTCATTGGTTTTCTGCATAGCACGAGGGAACTTGACTTGGTTGGTCAAGATTGGGGCAAAATACTGCAAGATATTTGTTAAGAGAACCAAATAAAAAGTCTGAAATATGTTTCTCAGAAAACAATATTTTTGAAACATTACTGGCAAATCAACAGTCTCAGAAACCCTGTGAATTTATCATCATTCAGAGATAAACTTTTAAAAATGTCAGAGCAGGGAGAGGATTTTAAAAACCTAGGGCGAAACATCCCAGCAACTCAGTTCTGCATTGGAGGTCTGTTTTCCTTCGCCCAAGGTCCATGTGTGGGGTAGAAATTCTCGGAAAGGGAGAACGAAGCTGATGTTTTTGTCAGACCAACAGAACAGACATTTTCACGGACACAATTCTAAAAGATGGAATGAAGTCCTTCCTTGATAAATATTATCTAAATGGTAACCACATTGGTGCAGGCTAATGACCCTGAAACAAAGAGTCGTTTAAGATTTGACTACATTGCAGAAGAGTGCTCTGTCCGGCTGTGGGCTTTTCAGTCAATGAAGCTCCAAAATTTCCCTTTTTACCAAAGTCGATTAATTAAATGTGGCAAGGTTTACAAACTAAACATTGTAAAAATGCTGGGCAATTTTTGGCCAAAGTTTGGAACTTGGTGAATCACTTTACAGTTGTGTAAATATATTATTTAACTGCAATGTTTTTCTCCTCTAATATGGGCAAACTTGTCTGATTGCTAAACATTTCCAGCAACAATTAAAAGTCTTATTAATAAGATTTACTATATTTGATGGTTACCCCTACCAAGGTGCTTTTGTAATGTCGGGCCAATCAGTGCTTCCATTTCTTCATTTCCAGTACCTTGTTTATGATTGATTTATGAACAAAAACGAACGAGGGAGGGAAAAAATGAAAAGCCAAGAAAAAGGAATTAAGATGAATACAAGTCTTATTGGTGTTTCATTTCCCGCACTAACTAACAGATGAGTTTATTTCCTAATGTCAGTGAAAAAGACCAGCAAAGTGGAGCTACCTATGATATCTTTGAAAACATCTGCAAATTGCCTGCAAATGCTAGTTGAATTCAGGAGAAAAAATGATTTTCTCCAATGTTAGACACAAATAAAGACAGGGTCAGCCCCCGTGAAACTAATTATGGCAATTTGCTTTAGGAGAAATAACCACTTCCTGCCGGGAACTCCGGGATCGGAGACGTATGGTTTATATGGCGTGGTCGGGGTCTCCGAACTGGGACAAAGGAAACAGGGCCCTGTAACAAAAGACCGTACTCCAAACAAAAGACCAGGCTGCTGGGCATTACCGACATTTTTCACTCTCAAAAGTGGTGATAATCCAGCCTTGTTTTGAAATCGTATACCAGGGTTTGGGGCATTGAGAGCAAGTGGATTACCACCGGGGACAAAAGCGCTCCACCACCGCAGCGATGAGCCACACAGTACCGCTGCACACTAATTTGGCCCCTATTGAAAAGAGGTCAGCAGTGCACTAAGCCAGGTTTGTGAACAAAAGATACCGCACAATCTGGGCTCTGTTTACAAGGCTGCTGGACTGGCTGAAATACTCGGGCGGTCAATGAAGGTCACCTGTCAACTTAGAGTAGTGCCTAAAGATTACTTGGTGCTGCTATAAACGATGAATTTTTGAAGATTGATGATGAATTTTTGAAGGATTTTGAAAACTGAAAAAATGATAGTCATGCCGGCCCAGCATCATCAGCATTGAAAAATGCCCGGCATGAAGTGAATAACAAGAAGGTTGCAAAGACCAGCCAATAAACTTTTGTGTAAAATCAAAAAAAGAACAAAAGGAAGGCCATGGGAAAATTTTGATTTGTAGATGCTCTGTGATGTTTTTTTCTGCCTCTTGGTGCAATCATTGGCCATATTTTCTTGCAATATGCATATTTTTACTTTAAGTGTTTCTTTTTATTTTTATTCTATTTGTTTGCTTCAGTTGCAAGTTGTTGAAATGGTTACATAAACCCATAAAAGAATAAATATATCAGGTATGTTGATAAAAGTTAGAAATGAAAATAAAAAATGCTTACCGAAACACAGACTGGACAAGCATGAATCAACTTTGAATCAACAATATAACTTAAGGGATAAAACAGAATATATAAACAACAGGACATAGAAACAATTCCATAAGGCTAGAAAAAAAAAATTAGTTTGCAAACTTTCTAAAGTTGGGTAAATAAAAATCATGCTCTTAGGAGATGAAAAATGCAATATAAAACGGAAAAATGACTAAGAATTGTATTAAAGTTAAGCAACAGCAACAATTTTAACAATGCACATGTATAAACCATGAATATGTATAAAAGAATGCACATCACATGTCCAAGGTTCTGGATTTTTTCAAGTGCGGACTTAGTTGTTGTTGCCTGCCTGCCTACGGTGTATTCCATTCACGTCTATTTCTGCTATTTCGTATCTTGAGGATCGGTCTTCTCAAAGATTGTATCCTAGAGTCAAAGCCTCTTTGGGCAATTATGCATTTGTGTTGCAATAACATTTCAGTGAGTTTTAATTCCCCAAATTGTTTGAAAGCTTGTACAAAACTGTGCACACAGAGTACGTAAAAACTGTGTAGGCAGGGCCCAACTTTGTGCACCCTACGCCAGTTGTGACAAAGCCCGCTACCGGTGAAAGTGTAAAAATATTTATCTCATTTCAAATTGCGGTAAAATGTGTGCTACGATGGGTTCTAGTGGAGATTCTTAGTAATTACTACTTCTCATACAGTAACGGCTGTAAAGAGTCCCACTGACCAAAAAAATGAATAACCGGTTGGCCTCAGGATGTTGTTTACACTCAAGGCTTGCACTTTGAGCTGCACCAGCCACACAATCTGTATTTTCTACACATATACATGTACTGTACATTAGATTCAGTTGCATGGATTACAGGGGTCCAGTACTGTTCGGTGCTGGAAAGTACATGCAAAGTTTGGCCTGGCAGTCACATCGGTAGAGAAAGAAGCAACAGAAAAATCTAGCCTGTTGATTGCAAAAAAGTTGCACATGAAATTTGGCATGTTTAACCAAAATAGTGCCAATTTGCCCAAAACCAGAGATATCACACCCTTGAATATATTTGGGGATGGGTTTTGAGCAAGTTTGTTTTTACAGAATCATTTTGTCATTTTTTCGTTAAGTACATGTAGATACTACCGACATGAACAGCTTTATCAATTGTGCTGGGCACATTTATAAATGATCCTATTAGACAGAGTTAGTAATTCATTCAGTTTAAGTGATGACAAATTTACAGTTGTGCATTCTCACACAGGACATCAAATTATTTCTGTTCAGAACAGTGCGCTAACCTTACATATCTAGTGTGGACTTGTGAACAAAAGATGTCCACACGATACAGGAAAGGAAGACGTCCTGTGGACTTACACATATGTCCATAGGACGTTTCTCCTTCTATGAAAAAGACGTTTAGAGGCATTTTAAGGGTAGGGGTTATCTGTCATATTGGAAGAGGAATAGTCAAGGAAACCGTTTACAAAAAGCCAGCTGAAAAAAGTGTTCCCAGTTCAAGAAAAAAATGAGTATTTTTACTGAGTTTTCTTAACTGCACGAAAAGAAAGGAATGTCCACACTAGGTATGTAAGGTAAGTGTGGGTGGGTTTTTCCGTATGTTGCTTTGAATTGACCAATGAATAAGTGAATTTGATACCAGTTTGCTTACCGCTTATTTGTGTATCATGTCCAGTTAAGTCAGTCAGGGCAAAACAATGGTGAACAATTGCTTTCCTGTTCCTAGAATTCCCCGTTCCTCCCCACTCTGGCTCTGACCTTGAGTTGCTTTCAAAAAGAAGGATGATGGGACTGCAATGCAGTGAATAATAATAGATGCATGCTACATGTACATTTACATATGTAGTGATGGGGTAGGAATTCTCGAGCCGACTTGTCCCACACGAGGGGGAGGAATTTGTGAGTATTATAAATATGTAACCTTGCAAATCCTCCATATCGTTACACCATTTCTACACACTTTTCCCCAAGGAACTCAGTTTGTCTCTTGGATGCATGAAGGAACAATGCAAAGTACTACACTTCATAGTGTGCTCAAACTCAGCGATGTTTCACATTTCAGGATTGGAGTAGATGTACCCCTCATAAAGAAAGCACGCTTTGGAGTTGTACATGAATCAGTTTGTAAACACCTACAGCCTTGTCATTTGACACTGGAAACGGACTCAACAACTGATATCACGAAGGAAACAATGCTTCAGAAGGTAAGCTAAATTAATAATTTAAATTAGCTTTTATGGAGCAGTGGTACCCAAAATGTACAAGGAAAGAAAACAAACTGGATGGTTTGACATGGTTATTATTTGAGGTTCAGGAGTCCTTTCCCCCTCTCTACCCTTAACCCCTTCACCTCGGGATGTTTTTACGGCAACCTACCTGGCTGCTGGGTTTATTTTTCCAATTTTGCTAACGGCAACTGCAGATGCCTACATTGGCCACCAGGCCTATCTGCCAAGTTTGCTTGGTCACACACTGCACACAGCCTGGCTCTGTGTAGTCATGAACCCTGCTGGGATATTTGGATTCCATTCAACAAAATACCAGGGACCCAGCACTTGCCTTGCCTACGCGACAACACCAACTACCCAAGGACGCTTGGCCACAGCGGAGAGTGCAGTGCCCGCTAAGTCATACGGTCTATGCTTGCTTTTAGTGGGCACCGTGGCTCGTGTGCCCGCTTCCCAGTAGTCCATGCATGCCGAGCATCAATGCCCAGCCCCAACTTGAACATTGAGTGTGCTTCACAAGTTTTTATTTCAGCTAATACCCAGTGAAGACTTCCCATAAAATTTCCCTAATGTTTTTATTTTCCGCAAAGTTTGCTTATAATTTTCTTGCACATTTCTAAGTTTATTTGGCAAGTTCTATTCAAATCCCCTTTCCGTATATAATGGTATATATAAACAGCCCCTTCTAAGTTTGAACCTTCCCATGAAAACTATCTTTCCAAACTAATCCTCCCCGTAATTATAAAATAAACAGACACAAGAAAAACACAATTTTCTCACTTTTCTTCTTCTCTTTAAGACTTGTCATTTCTTTTTTTCTCTCCTCATATGTACAATCACTTTATCTTCAATTTTATATAAAAAAGGAACCTTTCAGTAAAAACTTAGCCAAAAAAAGAAAAAAAAAGAGAGTAGTTGCACTACACGATGTCTTCAAATAAGTGGAAACTGTTGTAAAAAAGTTAGCCAAAAAAAGGAAAGAAAATAGAGAGCAGTTGCATTACACGATGTCTTGACACAGGAGAAAATTCTTGTGAAAAAGTTTGCCAAAATTGTACACGATTAAGTAATTGATTCAAGTATAATAAACCTTGAAGGATTTGCCTCAAAGTTCATGTACTACTTCTTGGAATACAGGAAACTTTACATAAATAAGCAGTTGATTCAAGTGTGATAAACCTTGAAACAAGGAACAGCGCAAAGTGACACTTCACAAATTTCACACATCACTTTAGTCTCTTTTCTTTTGCCATTTCTATAACAAACATCACACCATCTGTAGAATGTAGCTTGTTTTCCAGTTTGGGGAATTTCTACGGCAAAGTGCTTTCCTATCAGTCTACCTGGACCAGAGAGACGGGTTGGTCTACGCAAAGTGGAACTTGGCTAATTTCACACATCAATTTAGTCACTTTTCATTCACCGTTTCTAGAACAAACATAAAATGTCATGAACTCTTTCATTTATGATGTCTTGGAATACAGGAAACTTTGCATAAATAAGCAACTGTTAAAGTGTGATATTCCTTGAAACAAGGAACAGCGCAAAGTGGCACTTCACAAATTTCACACATCACTTTAGCCTCCTTTCTTTTGCCATTTCTATAACAAACATCACACCATCTGCTAGAAATGTAGCTTGTTTTCCAGTTTGGGGAATTTCTACGGCAAAATGTTTTCCTATCAGTCTACCTGGACCAGGAAGACAGGTTGGTCTACCTCTAGATTGATACAATGGCAAATTTTGTGCTCTGGTAGACTTGATACACCTTTATGCCAAACCTCCCACACTTCTTGGGGTGGTAATACTTAAACTTCAGTCTCCCTTTGAATTTCCAAAGAGACTCGTCAGTAGTAATCTTGCTGGACGGAATGTAGACAGACTTGAACTTCTCGGTCAGTTCATTTATCACTGGACGGAGCTTGTAGAGTCGATCAGTCGCATCTGCACACCTGTTATCGATGAAATGCAGATAGGCCAGCAAGTCCATAAACCTGTTGCGGGGCATGGTTTCAGGAAAAAACAGAGTCTGAAGTATTGAGTCTCTCATCCAGTAGGACTTCAAGTCGGATTTCGGAATCAGTCCCATGACTATCATCATGGACAGGAACACTGACATCTCATCTGGTGTTGTGTCAAACCAGCTTCGCATGTGACTTGGACTTGCTTCTGGTTGACTTCTCGGGTGTTCAGCGGCATAGTGGTTGGTCTCGTTGGCAATGTGCAACGTCAGCTCTGGGGTGAAAACCTACTCGAAGATCTCAAAGGAGTGCTGTTCTTGTCCAGTTCTTGTACTTGAACACCCGCTGTGCCTTGAAAGCCATGTCGGCTGGGGAAGTTGTCATCAGCTGTCCATTGAATGGACGAAGTCTTGACCTTCTCTGCAGGCCTCGCTAACGGTGGTTGCCCGTTAGAATCGCTGTCACTAGTTACATTTTCTGAACTAAGTTCAGATTCTGACATGAAATCTGAACCACTAGTCGTGGTCAAAGTTTCCTCGTTGCTGGAAGACATTGTGTAATGCAACTGAAGGGCCGGGAAGCGGCCAAGCGAATATATACCCAGTGCCACAGAAAACGCTGCTTTCGACGAAACAAATAACTAATTACACTGAACAATGGCCCATCTATACCCTGAGTGCATGGTGCTGGTGTGCTGCCCACGTGTTCCCAGCCCAGTAGGGCCGTAAACAATGGCGCGAACACCATGTCAATGGCCTGTATTCATCATGCTCTGAGCCCACACAAAACGTGTTGCACACGCCCTATCCACGGCTTCGAGCTCCGCTCCATGGAGATTACCCAGGGTATTCAATCAAAGACAAAGGGGTGTTTTGATGGAAAAAAAAACATTTACCAAGTATCAGGGGATCAATGAACTCTCTAGGTTGCCCCAGATTTCCATTCAATGCAAAGGTCCCTACAGCTGCTTCCCGGTTATTAGACTTTCCTCCCGGTTTGCAAGCTGACTATTATGGAATATGGTCAACAGCTTTCCTATTCAAACTTTTCTCAGCTGCTTCTTTACACCCTCTTGCTCAGGAACTCACCTGAGCTATTCTCATTTCCTGTATTTATTCAGCATAACTGTTGTGTACACCAGCTTGTCCTAAATTGGTCCCCAAAGGCCTTTGCATCAGCTGCCCAAAGGACCTCCTGTTGAGCATCATCCTGGCCTTGGAACTAAAAAAGATGATATTGCTTAGTCACCATAACCTTTTTGCTATTTTATCTGCTGTTTGATTTCTTTCTTTACAACTGCTAATTCTGTACCAATTATTTCATCATCCATCTATTTATACCAAAATTCTTTAATGGCTCTACCCATCTGCTCAATTGTACTTGTAATTCCAGAGTTAGTAATAAAGCCAAGATTTAGAAAACATCAGTTGCAAATTGTGTTGCAAAATACTGCAAAATTGGTGAAATGTTGACCGTTGTTTGCTCACTGTAGATAAACGACTCATTCAAAAGTGATTATGCTACATCAAAATTTGATATCAAAAACATAATCTTTTGTGGGATGCAGATATACTCAGAAATAGCATGAGCATAATCAAGACAAACACACATCCAATTCAAATTCACAACTATAACATGGACACAAAACATAAGTGCTAGACACACTTCAGCAAATAATGTTCTAAATGCAGACATCATCAACCATTCATTATCGTTTCTCTTTCACAACAGTGATAGCCATCATTGCAGATAAGTTACATCATTCAGGACATCATTCACTGATCATTTCTGTTCCAGTATCATAATTTTCAGAATATACATGTAGGCTGCTTGGAGTATAAGCCGCACCGGCATCTTATCAGCATCTTGGTGCTGACAATACCAACCCTCAATCTTCAAGCAACGTGCAAATGAAGTTTGCAATTAAACCTAAACTTCCATAAGTCCTTGAAATTACCAAGCCTCCTGCGTTCACATTCCCCTGCCAAGCCTACATATGCAAATTTCCCATGTGCCTATTACAATTCACTGAAAAGACTTGATAATGCATCCTGCCCCTTGACCCTCCACAATGCACTGCAATCCCGCCGCCATGTTCGTCCTTCTTTTCTCAGCGCCTTTCGTTTACGGACATGTCTTTTATGGCATTTTCGAAGTTGCAAGTTCCATACCCTTTTGCGTTTGTGAATTTACTTGATTTCTGTTTATAAATAAAGAGTGATTTCTTATCTATCGGTAAGAATGGTTATTCTCGTATTTCGTATCTTGTATTTTGTATATTTTGTTGTTCTTTTCTGCCCCCTTTTGCTGTGCATTATCTACAGGTTTGGGTGTGGCCTACTGTAGTGTGTTGTGTATGGCCATTGAACAGGACTGGGCAGCCCTTTGTTCTCTGTGTGGTGCGTGCGTTCGAGTAATAATGGCCCAATGCTGTATGGGTCTGGCCGTGGAGTGGGTCTTGGCGGGCTGCCCTGCTTCTTTGTGGTGTGGTTTGCGCTATTCGATTAATGGCCTTGACGAGACCCAGTGGAATGAATAGGCCGGGGTTGAGCCAGCTATACGACAACACTACCAGACTTTTATCTACATGTACATGATTAGGTTGAGTGAGCTATGCCGCTACAATACCCTGATCACTGATGACCATTACCAGAATAGATCGGGCTGAGCGAGTGGTAACACAGCCCTTGATCACTGATGACCGCTTCGTACACCTACCGACTGGGCAGAGCGTGCTGGGCCACAACACTACCCTGGGTCATCGACACCCACTCCACATATTTACATATCGGGTTGAGTGAGCTATGCCACAACACTACCGTTGATCAAAGTGACCATAGAATGATGCGTGGTTCCTTCTCTATGCTGCGGGTACCGGGCATCGCTACCTACAGCATCCCCGGGTGACCATACCGACTGATGACCCAGCAGGGCTCGCGAGGCAACGGTCTGCTGTCTGCCCAGGGTCCCTCCCCCTTCTGCCAACCAGGCGGTGCTCGCTTGGAAGCCAGGCCA